CCGAAATGGGGTGTCAGAAACTGGCAGGTGCCTGCCTGGGCACCAGCGGTTGCTACGGGATGTGCTGTCGATTCTCTCTGCTTTTTTCTCCTTTTCGGAGCCTGCTCCGCCCGGTTCTCCACGACGTAGACGGCGCCCGTGCCAGAATTGCGAACCTGGGAAGCGTAGGGAGAGTAGAATGTAATGTAGTATAGTATGGTATACTACAGTATGGTATAGTATAGTGCAGTATAGTACACTATAGTGCAGCATAGTACGGAAAACAGTAGAGTAGAGTAGCGCAGCGTATGGTCATGGTATGCCATGGCATTGCATGCGGAGCTCAGGGCATGGTATGGTATCATATTGCATCGTACCGTACAGCAGAGTAGAGTACAGTATACAGTATATGGACGTACATAATATGACATAGCTTAGCTTAGCACGGTAAAGTATGGCATGGTAATACTCCTCATGAAGCAAGTCGAAACGCACCAGAACCTCAACACTCGTGCATCCGAGCTTCCGCTCCGTATGGCTTCGTCCACAAATTCTCGCATCCCCAAGACTGCAGCGAAGAGCCCATCATGTAGCGAGACTCCAAATGCTTCTCGTTCGTTCTCCATGCTTGACCTGCAGTGCTTCACCACGACGGCATGCCCTCATGGCGAAGACGATGCAGGCTGGACTTCTGTGACTTAGGGTAGGGCATAAATTCTTTCCGCATTGGGAACAGGCACGCACGTGGTGCAGTATATCCTGGTCACGATGTGCAACAAATACTTCCCCTGCCACGCAGTATGCCTGGCCGGGCACACATTCCATAGCATCTCCCCTGCCTTATCGAAGCAGTGGGCTGATATGTAGCCACCGTTCTTGCCACCTTTGCTGTCCTGATCGTCATCGCCTGACCACCAAGTCACAGAAGCATCGGACGCAAGCCGGTGCTGAGTGCAGGATTCTCGGGCGACTTAGATCCGCACTCCGAGCCAGCATGCCAAAGCATCCACTCTTGCTCCAAACCACCTGCACCAAAGACTATCCTATCTGCCGTCAACACTCCCACTTCGGATTTTACTCTGCACACCACCTGCTTGCAATCCTGTTCCATTTCGCAAAGTTCCTCAGAAGTTGCAGTGGAAACTGGGTCCGTATCCGCAAACTCGACCCAATGGTCATTTCGGACAAGTCTCGAAACAAGTTTTCCATGGAAGCTTTGCGCCATACTTGTGCTCGCCTGCAGGTAGCAGCAGGCAGCAGCGTCAGGCCCTCACAAATACAGAATGTTGATGGGGACTAGCACGAGGATGACTCACAAGACCGTGAAGGGGCCATGATGGAATCGAAAAACACAGTTGGCGACGTCGACTCTGTATCCATTTTCTCTCGTCTGCAAAGGGTTAAACGACTTGCCCGCGTTCTGAGGGCGGCACCCAGCGAGATCTGAACCTCAGCTCTGATTATTCAACACGATGCAAAACAGTTCGACTACGGACAGACCTGCTACTACTGGTAATGATCCTGGCTGCAGCACAAGATGCATGTTTTCCCAGCCATGTCATTCTCCACTTTGGGAAAACAGTGCACCGTCGCTCCTGCGTGCAGCAGGCTCGTCTCACGTCGGAGAGCATGCATGCAACAACAGATCTCACTCTCCTTCTTGATGTAGCACATTGCATCCTTCCACTGTTTCCCTGCAAAGGACGGAGCTTACTCGTGCGGCTGAGCACTTGTAAGCCAGATGGCATCCTTTTTGCGGCACCTGCGCTGCCTTTTGCCAGAGGCTGATTGATGAAGAGGAAGCAGTTCCTCCGGTTCCAGCCATTGGCATACCTGGTCCAAGGGCCGATTGCCAGGCTCAAGCCTGTCATGAGCGGCTGCGCCCCCCGCCACTCGAAGCCGACGCAACCAGCCGTCAGGTCACCTGCACCGAACAGCGATGGCATACCCTTGGCAAGATTTCATCGCATTACCAGCATTACCAGATATTACCAGTAACTCTTAACTGTCTTAACTCTGCAAGGCACATGCCGCTTCGCAGCCCACGACATTCTTGGTCACGCGGCCTTTGTCCTGGAAGCGCCAAGGTCCCGCCCGGCCCGGGCGACAATCCGACACACCATGACACACCCGACATCACCATCCACCAGGCTCTGCCAGGCTCTGCCAGGGGCTCCTGCGGCGCATCCTTGCCGTTCTCGAGGACACAGAAGTTCTGAAAGCTTCTGTAGTTGGCCTGGCATCTCTCAGACGGAACGGCAACATGGAGCCAACGGTTGGACGCTTGGCCTTTGCCGGATGAGTTCCTCCGCTCCTTGGCTCAGGAGTCTTATGCTCTGCTCCACTGAGTGCACGGGGCTTTTTGAAGCAGGGACACTGAATGGCCACACGCACGGCTCGAGCCTGGAGAATGCCAAAGCCTGACTCCGGCTCGTTCCGGTCAATTTCAAGGGGACATTCCACACTATCGCAAACTCAGTCCCAGGCCATACTTTGTGCCTCCTGCGCAGAACAGCCTTGCACTGTCGCAGTGCACCTTGTACGAGCCGTATCCAACCCGCAACGGTTGCCCATCGAAAAGCCACTCCTCAGACACGAAGGTGATATGTTGACACCGCAGATGCAAAAAGTTTGAACATCACAGAACATGAATAGATGTCAAGAGGCATTGCTTTTGAACGTGACCTTGACAATGTCCCGTCCCCGTATTCCTGCAGATCTCAGAAGCCAGCAAATCGCCATCTGATCTCGAAAAAGGGCGCCGGCACTATACGGAACAAACCAGCCATGAAGACTGAGGACTGGAAGTGTCGCTGGTGCATGTCTGCTCGGGCAATAGGTTAGGTTTTTCCTTGCTTCAAATTCACAGGAGGCAGACAGAATCCACGAAGGCAATGCGGCTTAACGTGGGATGTGCGTGTAAAGGCTCAAAAGCGCCGTGCCCATCACGCATGTCTAGGTACCACAGTTTGTTCCTCACATACCTTGCGCGTGATTGCGCGTGTATCCTTTGGTCAGGACGAGTCCTGACAGAAAAACTTCGTGCTCTCGCGCATTCATCCTGTCACATCCTGTCTTTCCTGCTGCATGCTACATGCGAGCTGTTTCCAAGATGCCTGCACGCTTCATCAGTGGGCACCAGTACTTGCCCAACTTGCAAGGCACCTGCGGACAGCGAAGCGGTGAGAAGTTGAGACTGTACTCCGACGTCAGAAAGGCCGAGTCGCCATGTCCGGATGCACGCCCCCGTTCCTGGGACAGGAAAAGCCACCAGCGCACATCAGCCATCATCAGCCTCTGCCACTCCAGTGCTTCCAAGTCTCGCGATGGCTTCTTTCAGTGCCTTCGCCTGCTGCAACCCAGTGCCTCAGTGGATCAGTGGGCTCTTTAGAGGCCCGCGGCCGCTCCATGTGCTCCATGCGACCGGTGCTTCTTGGGTCCAGGCCGAATGTCTTTCCACCGGAACAGAAAAGCTTCCTGCTGTCACATCCTTTTTTGTATGATCCGTAGCCCACTCCAGTGCTTGTGTCTTTGAAATACCATACCTCAGCAAGGAGACGAGGACCCGGAAAGCTGCGTCTCTCCTGCTGCCAAAGCTGCTCCGCTTTTCGCACTCAGCCTTCCTTGATCGTTGCGAACGATGCCTGCAGGCGCCGCGGAAGAGGCCGAGTCCCGTCGGTCCCAGAATTCCCAGAATTCCCCCGGCCCCTGCCTGCTCTCTGCAGTTGGGCACACCAGTACTCACTCAAGGTGCAGACGACCTCCAGCCGTGCAGCCGTTAAACGTTTCGTGGCGACGAAACACAAAACAGCGAAAGCTCTCAGGCAAGCCTTGGCGGGATGAACGCCTCCGTTCCTCAGAGCAGGTGACTTTAAGGCCGTGCCGTAGGTTCGGTGATATGGTTCTCGGATACATGCAGACAAGGGTCTGAATGGCTTTCTTCACTTCGCGAGCTTGCTGTATTGCCATTCCTTGTAAGTGGCGTCATGAGTTGTGGCACGCGGAAAAAAAGGGGACAGCATCTGCATGCGCCGAGGGAAAAACCCCAATTAGTCTAAGTCCGAGTCCATACTTTCTTCCGCCGGCACACAAGAACTTGCGTGGACATTTCTCCTTGTAAGACCCGAAGCCGAGTTTGGTGCCTTTGCCTTTGAAGTACCATTCCTCGGTGCGACGAAACCCGTCCGTGCATGCACGCTTGTCTTGCCTCGTCCTCTGCGGCCGAAGGGCGCCATCTTTCGTGCGGATGGATCCACGGTCCTTCTTTGCGATTCCTTGGGCCATCTTGCTCAAAATGCGACTCTGATGCAGGGATATCTTGTTACTGCTATTGCACGGTTCTGTCCGAAGCTGCCTGCAGCCGCCAGGATTTTGCACCAGAACTTGCCAAGTGAGCAATCCGCCTGCCGCGACAAGAGCAAGAAACACTAGGAAACAGCCAAACGCTCCGGCTGCTTGTCTTTCAAAAACCGTTGCCTTCTCGGGATGCACGCCGTGATTCCTTAGTTTTGTGTGGAGCCGTAGCTCACGCGCACGAAGACACACACCTTCAGTGAGCATCCAAGTTTCTGAATGGCCTCTTTCACCGCCTTGGCCTGCTTAAGCCCAGAACCTTGGGCTTGCAGCAGCCTACTTTGAGCTGCTTCTCGAAGGGCCGAGGGCACCACCGTACTTAGTCTGCCCAGCGCAGAAGTACAGCTTTTGATTGCAATCCTTGTCGGAGTCTCCTTTTCCAACTTTCGTCCCTTCCGCGTTGTAAAGCCATTCCTTGCCATGAGCTCCCGGAGCAGTTGCTACATTCGGCTCGTGCGGACTTGAAGACAAATGGACAGCCGAGCCGCATTGCCCTTGGATCCGATCCTGGCCTGGTCAGCTATCGCCACACCTGGAAGAAGTTTCAAACAAAGGCCCGGCTCCGCTCTGAGCACGTCGAGGGGTCCAGGCCTGCTTTTTGGAACTGCTCACACCAGTACTTGCCGAGCAAGCACTTGGGAGTCTCCTGGCTCGTCACCCGCTTCGGCTGGCTCTTTCGCCGGGCCGCCACCTTGAGCCTCAACCAAAACCACGCAGCGAACAGCGGTGCTCTGCTCTGTGCGTCCGGAGCACTTCGCGCTGTGGAAAGGCGAGTCTGGCTCGGCCTGGCCAAAGGCTGCACGCGGCGGCTTCGGGGGCGGGGGGGGGGGCGATGCAGGAAGCAAAGAGGGCGTCGTGTTCGAACCTCGGGTTGCGTTCGCCCTTCCTCGCGCTCACGCTCCGCCCAGCCTTGGATGCGAAGCCCCAACCCGGAAAATCTTAGGCTCAGAGAATGCCTGCTATCCAGAAACGACCCCACCACCTCGTCTCGTCACCGATGTCTCTCAAGTCCTGGATGATGCAGCAACGTCGCGTACGGACCATCTCATTAGCTTGGCCAAGCATTCTGCTCGACTCTACTGCTGCTTTGCATGCGAGTGGCGGCAGGGCTGGAGTTGAGAGCATCTGCAGCTGCCGCATCTGCACCCAAAAGTCCTTCAAACAGACATGTGACCGAGGCCGCCCAGCTTTTGTGTTCACACCTCCTTCCCGGGAGCTGCCAGACGAGCCGTGTGCCTCCCAAGAAAGCTGCAGCGACAGCCCAACAATAACACACACACACACACACAGCGGCCTCATCATCCTCCTCATCTGCGCTCGCTTGAAGACTGACTAGAGAGTCAATCTCTTCTACACCGCCGTCCTCTGAGAGGTAGCAGTCCTGGAGCGAACGACCACAATCACAAGGTCCAAGAATCCCGCCGGATAACCCCACCTGTATATCTTGCGACATAAGACCCTTACCGGAACTATGGTCCGCATGCGCACCTCGGCCGTGGAATTGATGGGCTCTGTGTTATCGGTCTGATCTGACTGCTCTCCGCTGTAATCCAAGATCTCAGCCTGATCGAGCAAAAAACAAGCAACATGTACGGGAATTTGTGCGATCAACAATCACATGTTTCTTGTCAAGCCTACTCAATTGGGGCGAACGCGTCAAGTTTGGAGCTTAAAGTCTCGAGCTTTTAAAGCTTACGAGCACGGCTTGGGGCCCGGGGTTTTGGCGCGTTTGCAGCTGTTGCAAATGCTTTTCCGACGCGGACGCTGATGAAGATGCAAACGCTTCATGTGCAGAAGCCTCGAGGTTGCCTCGAGCTTCTGCATGGCTCGTCACGATGGAATGCTATCCACAAAGAAATCGCCCGGAGCTTTGGTACAGTCTTCAAGTTGAAGACTGTACAAAAGCTCTGCGACGTTGACAACGTTAAGGCACCAAGATAAGCTGCCATCCAAAAGCTCAACTCCTCATATCTCCTCATGGCTGCGCAGCCGGCACCACATCCTTGAACGTGTAGTAACCCTGAGCAGCTTCCGATTCACCTTGGAAAACAGTTTATTCGGGATGCTGGCATCCACCATGCCAGCCAGGGAAATGTAGACGCTTATGACGGTGGCCCTGATGCCACCACGCGGCCCAAAGCAGCATTGACGGTCTTGTAGTCTGCAGAAGAGGTCATGCTTGTAGACTGCCATGACCTTTCCTTGGGGACGAAGGCCACCACTCCGCCCAGGGCGGAGGGCCTCCACGTTATCCCAATCTGCTCGGGAAGTCAAACCCTTGGGGCCATTGACGCTTCCGAGTGGTGAGCCTCCGCCGCCGTGTTCAGTTTTGCATCCGCTGTGGCTCCCATGTGATTGCTTTCTAGCGGCTGGAATTTGCTGGGGGCCTGGAAAAAGATGCCTTTGTTCCAGTCGACCTCCTCGGCAAAGGTCCCCGAGCTTTTTCGCTGCATCACCGATCTCATCGGCAAACGCCGTTGGAGCCACCATGCGGCGGCAAAAGGGTCTGCACTCCGACACAGAGGCCTGAGCACGAAGCTGCTGGAGCCTGCGGCCACGGCCATGCCATGCCGGTGGGTCGCCTTCCGCGTAGAGTGCACCATGCTGAGCAAGCCGAGCAAAGGTCAAGAGTCTGGATGATGTTAAGAAGGGCGCTTGAGCCAGAGTTTATCCCTCAGCTACGGCCCTGCTGATAAAACGATAAAACGCGTGCACGGAGTGCGAAGCCCACAGCCGTCCTTAACATGCTCGCGGTGGCACGGGCACCTCCGTGTAGTTCACAGGATCGGGCTCTGTGTCCGACGTGTCCCAGGAGGCCTGGGCCTGCAACTGAGGATGTCAGCAGAGGGAATGCACCAGCTCCCAGGAATTCCAATGCCTGATCGTCCGTGGCATGCTCATTCCTCAGCAGAGTCGCCATGTCAGCTTTGTGCAATGTCTCGTGCAGGCCTCGAGTTGAGAGACAACAGCCGCATACCAGTAGAAGCCGAGCTTTCGACGCATCTCTCACCGTTTGCTCGATTATGCTCACGTCTGCTTCAAGGTCGTCTGTCACCTGGAAGAGGACACAACTGCCCTGACGACGTCATGTCCGACACCAAGGGTGCACCGAACTCTGGCCTGTGAAGACCTGTCTTGATGGTCGGTCACATCCGATTCGTTAGCGAGTAGGCTGGCAGATGCGCCTCCGTTGCTTCTCCAAAGCGCTTACGGGATCACGACACTCACGACACTCACGCCACGGGCACGGCCATCAACATCGGGCTCAGGAGCCTGAAGCTTTCAGGGCCACTCCTCTGCCATCGTCTTGCACCTGAGGAAGTCGCCAAGAGGAGCCCAGGACTTGAGTGACTGTGGCGTCTTCTGCGATCATAGCATCTTCACGACACGACTTTTTGAACACTGATTGCAGCATGCTGCTATTCTGGGCGTCCCGGTGGCATCGACAAAGGCAGTGCTAAGACCTGTCGGAGCCACGAGCCACAATGCAGATCTCGCTGCAGCTGCAGACGCCCAGGCGCCGAGCCTGGATCCAAAGCTGCCGCGCGCGTGGTTTCGCGACGGACAAACTGCTTGCGAGGATAGTCCTGCAAGGGCTGTCTCTGTCTCTTGCAACTTTCAAAACCACAGACTGGCTTCGGCCTTTTTATTCCAAGCATGGGCTGCGACACAGAAACATAGTAGACCCAACCTTGCTCTGCGACAAGAATACACACAGCACCAACGCTGTAGAAGTCATTCCAGCCAAGGAGCGATCTCAGGATCATGCCATTAAAGCCGCGTGGGTTCTTCAACAACAGCAGGCTCGCCCGTCAAATATGAAGCCTTGAAGGCGTCCAGCAAGACACGCAGCGAATGTTGAAGCAGAACCAAACATTCTGCGTCCGTCTGCGTGAGTTCTGCGATACAACGTCAATATGTTTCGGCTAAGGTTTCCAAACAGGTAGTCAACTGCGCATCTGAACTAACCTGCGGTGAAAGGTAGCTGCAAGAGATCGCTTCGCGACTTGTCAATAGCCCGCACTCTAAGATCCAGCAAGCGGCTTTTCGAAATGGAGAACAGACCTGGGAGTGTGCGGTGACTGGGTTGCGTGGGTTGGTAGCGACGTGCTGTAAGGTCCGGGCAACACCTAGATGAGCAAGGCAATTCCTTGGATAAACATGCAAAAGGCAAAAACACGAGATTCTGCAAGCTTTCTCAGAAGAGCTGCTGGACTTGAAATGCTGCCGGAGAGCGAAGACAACAGCGGTCAGGGCCCCTCGCGCGGCCATGGCTGCTGCATCTTGAGCCGAAGTGCCTGTCGAGGAGTCGATCTCAAAACATCCCTGCAGACGCGCACCTTCTACAGGTCCTGGAGACATGGCTGCACTCTTCTCCGATCGCTCCCGATGAGGTGGCAGCCACAAAGACTTCAGCAGCTAATCGAGTTCTCGACGAGCAGGCGATGACACTTCGAGGATACAGCAACTGCCCCCTGTCGAAACTTCAACACCTGTTTGAGAGAGATCTAAGATCCACGAAAGGTCTGTCTGCGCTGCCGTCTTGTAGCAAGCGCCACGAAAACTCTGGGAAAAGCATTGATAACAAAACTCGAGATCTTTGTCACTTGGATGTTTCCGTCCCAGCTTTGAGGATCCGTCGGACATCGGAGAGGCTCGACAGTTTGCAGGTCCGGCACGTCGAAGTCAACCCGCTCGCTTTGAGGCGGCCTGCAGCTGCAACGGCTTGGGGTTAGGGAGCTGAGGACTGAGGGCTTAAGGGTGAACTCATAAGATGGTCTCTGCTGGGTCTGTGAAGATGCCACGGCGTGCGCTTTAACTTAAAGGGGGCGTGCCTTGGCTGCTATCCTTCGCTCGTTGGCGTCGAGGATGGCCTTTTGCAAAACAGCTCAGGGCCCTTCCTTCGCTTGATTCGGGTTGCCGTCCTTGCGCATGACGATGCGCTTCGGCGTCACCTCCAGCTTCTCGTCCTCGAGAATGTAGCTCAAGGCCTGCAACATACAAGCCCGAAGATTCACCCCGTGGAAACCGTAATGCCTTGCACCTCCTCAAGCCGTTTCTCGATAGGCGGGGCAAAGCCAGCAGCAGACTGATATCCATCGTGCTTCCTTGCAAGGGCTACCCGGTTACGCTGCCTCATGAGCGAAGAGGGACTCCGAAAGTTGTCCTGGAAATGTTGGTGTCAATGTCAGTCATGGCATTGTTTTCGCCAAAGATCATTCCTCAAGAGTCAAACCGGATGGAGTACATCAAGCTGCTCATCGTGCGAGATTACGAGACTGAACAAGACCAGCAGCCAGCCTGGATACACCTCCATGCCTTCGCTGATGAACAGCTTGCCCATGCGCGCTGCCTCTCCATGGAGCAGATCACACATCTCGAAGGGTCACTGCAGCGCTACTTCTGAGAAGTAGGGCCTTGCCCAGGTCCACGGCAGTGGAAATGCCGGCGGTGTTGGCAATCAGCACACCGTTCCTAGCGCAAGACATGCAGACTTACGGCCACATAGAATGCCCTGAGAAAAAGAGCAAAGAAGCACCCGTGAAAGCCGGATCGTCCTGTCACGAGGAGCCGGCGGGCCCTGGGGCCGCATCTCCTGCTCTGCTAGGCCCGGCCAGGCTGCTTGCAGCCCTCGCGCCTCTTGACCGCGTGCGAGACGGCGACGGCAGCTCCTTGAAGTCGGACACCACGGTGCCAGTGCCCCCGGTAACTTCTTTGAGCCAGCCTGCGCTGCCACAACGAAAACACTCGCGGAGAGGCCTCCATGTTCTTTGTGTGCTTCAGAGCAACTGCGCAGGCCGAGCAGTGAGGACGTTGCTGCCTTTGGCCGAGAGGCAAGAACACAAGGATGCACGAGGCAAGGCATCAGCGCATCAGCCGCACCTCCATCTTGATTGTCTGCCTTTCCCCGACCGTGCTCATGTCAAGCACCTTGCCGCCTCGCCCAGACATGCCTCAGTCCGACAGGGCCAAAACCAAGGCGCGGCTCACGTGACGGCCACGCTTTGTCGAGCTGCGCTCCATCACCAGGCTTCCATGCGACATGTCCACCTGCGGCGATGCTCGTGGAATTACCGAGAGCCTCGAATCACGGAATGACACTCATCGCCTCAATCTGGACATCTTCCCAGGGCTCCAGGACTGTCCCATCCTCACCTCATGGTTCTGTATAGACCCCTACCGCACCGGTAGCACGGTGACTCGATTCAGACGAGGAACCTTGCTGCTTGACAACACTTGGTGGAGAAAGCGACATCTCGTAGCCTTCTCGCCGCATTTCTTCGATGAGGATTCCGAGCTGCATCTCCCCACGGCCACGAATTTCGAAGTAGTCGCGATTGGGAGACTGCTGGACCTCCTTAGCTGCGCGTGCGTAAACGACGTCTCCTGTACCATATACCCCTAAACCCTATAAATTCTAAAACCCTAAATTGACTTGGTTCGTTTCATGTTAATGTCACTTCTTGCAATCGGGTGTCAATCGCAGGATTGGTGAGTGCCTCCTTTTCCAGGCGCTCGCCCAGGGCGTTGAGGGTGATGTACTTGCCATCTTTACCCGACAACGGAGAGTCGTTGACTGCGGCTCGAACAGATATCACCGGAGGATCTATGGGCTGGCACTCCACCGGAGGCACTTTTGGATGGCTCACAAGGGTCTGCGTCCATCTCGGGGTGAAGCCCGTGACGCTCACGGAGACGATGTCCCCAGCCTTGGCCATCTTCACAGGCTCCCGGCTCACGCCGTGAACCACCGTGATCTCCTTGGCTGCCCGAAGGGCCGAATCGCACTCCCTCACCTATACCTATCATACCTTCACCACGCGGCACTTAGCAGCTGCCGAGCTTCGCGCACCTTGCCAGACCCCACGACCTCCCCGTCCAAGCTCTTACCTTAGAGACACGGACGGCTGACGGGCCATGCGCTCCGTGTGCGGGCAACGTCATGAAAACAACTCAAACGAGAGGCAGCTGATCTTGTCGCCCTTGTGGATCTGACCGCTGTGCACCTTCCCCGTGACAGTCGCCCCCAGCGCAGGAAGCCTGCAGAGCGCGAAAGCAGCAATGTGATGAGAGAGATGCCTTTGCTTCGCGCCGTTCCGCGCCTGTCAAGCTGCGACACCAGCATTGAGAATCCTTTGCACTTCTCGTCCAGCTCCAGGATTGCCGGATCCTTGAGGCAAGACATCAAGGATCCCCCTTTGAGCATGTTCTTGATCGTGCTCCCCGTAAAAATTATCCCAACATCTTCAGCCGAAGCCTCAAGGCGTCCTGACAGCTGCAAGGTTGGCTGCGCGTGCATGCTCGTTTTTGTGCAACATCACTCCCTGGACCAAGCCGAGCTTGCGATGCAGTCAAGGCTCAGGTGTGGCCGGCTCGGGTGGCGGCACGACATCTCGAATCGTCTCGTATAGCACCATCATGTCAGTTGGACGATTCTCCGACCGCGCTTCTTCCAGGGATCTGGCACAAAATCCAGCTTTGCCAGATGCATACAACGTCGGATACTCCAACCTGAGCCGGCGAAGCACGGCGAAGCCCGGGTTTGCGCTCGAAACCGCTCTGGACTCTCTCGAACATCGCTACGAGTACTAACAACAGCCTCTCTGCTAGATGGAGGCAGGATGCTGCTCGTCTGTCGAAGCCATGTTAGCAAAGACATCGAAAATGTCGTTCTCAACTTCACCATTCTCTCGTGTCATGGGCCGATCCACCTTGTTGATCACAACCAACGGCTTCATCTTGTGATGCCTGAGCGCCTTCTGAAGAACAAACTTCGTTTGGGTCTTCGGACCCTCTACGATGTCTACCAATAGGACGACGCCGTCCACCATGGAGAGTACTCGCTCCACTTCTCCACCGAAGTCTGCGTGGCCGGGAGTGTCTACGATGTTGAATACATAGCCATTCCTTGGGCAGGACTTCATGTATGTGCCAAATCTTTCGTTGTGTCTCCGAACTACCAATCACAGGAAGACATATCAGAAGCATTGCAAATGCAACAAAGAAGCCATGAAATCCTCGTTGCCTTCGACAGGATGGTAATGCCTCTCTCCTGCTCCAGATCTTTGCTATCCATCATCCGCTCCGTGACTTTCAGGCCCATGCCGCTCTGCTTCATCAGCTGGTCGACCAACGTCGTCTTCCCTCGGCTGTTTTGAAAGCAGAGGATGCCACAAGCGGGCAAGCTGGTAATTATCGACATGATGTTGCAGAAACAAGCATACCATTCAACCCAATAAGACTGCGATAGGAGACACAAGGATTGGGCCTGCTGCTACTGTGTACAGACACGTCTCCATGATCAACGTGTGCGATGATGGCCACATTGCGGAGTCTGTCCAGAGGCACCTCCTGACCCGCAAACAGACAGAAAACCACGCGAGCCAGCAACGAGGGGACTGCGTGCTTGGTGCGCTCGGACCCCGAAGCCCCGAAGCCGGCCTCTGGAAGGCTGGCGGCTCCTCGCACGGCGAAGCTGGGCTTCGGGAAAGCCTGAGACAAGTCCAGGCTTGTTTCCAACGCCACCAGAAGGCCAAGCCTAAAGACGCCTGCAGATTCTCATGCTTTCAGTGCTGGAAGCTTGGACCCTGACCTCGCACCTCGAGGGCAAAATCGGCCTGTCCAGCCAGGCGCTTTCAAAATGCTCAGCCAACTGCGACACTCTCCGCGCCTGTACAAGGATGGCCAAATGCATCGTCCAGCTGTCGCAGATACCCGATGCATGGGCCAGCGCCGCATCCCCCGAAAGCTCGCCCGGCTAAAAACAACTGTCCCGGCTGTGTATGCAGCTTGAGTTTTCTCTAAGAGCTTACAATGACTCCGACTGCTTGGAGTACTTTTCACGTATATTTCTATATTTGTTTTATATCTTGCTTGCTTGCTTGCTTGCTTGCTTGCTTGCTTGCTCCCTCTCCCTCATGTCATCTGATGTGCAAGCTAAGCTGCAGGTCACATGCATCCGTCAAGAAGTTTCAGGTGGCGACATGTCACAGCATCAACTGTATTCAATGTTTGCGAGCTTTCAGCTTTCCCTGCGATTGTTGGTGAGAAAGCTTTCCCTGCGATTATTGCTGAGGCATCGGGTTGCCTCAACAAACAAGTTGCATACCTTGCGTTCTTCGCGACCGGGCACAGTGTCCGCTAAACAAACACTTGCCGTAGGATGTCGTTGAGTGCAAATCTAGAAAGCTTTGCATCTTGGCGGCGATGAGCACCGACGGATCCTACTGCGAAGGCGGGCAGCAAACCAACATGCGGCGCGGCCAGCCGGATCGGCCGCTGTGCCAACAATCGAAATTCGAGCGGCAGATGGAACGGGAATTCCAGATGCGCAGGGAGGATGGAGCAGAAAACACACAGGGACATGTTGCATAATTAAAGCAACAGTGATGGTGGAAAGCGCAGGACAAGGACCAAGCAGAAGGGAGCTAAGCCGACGTCATGTCTGCCGATCCTACCGGAACATTTTGCAGACCCTGGAACGTCGGACCCACAGATGCGCGTGCACAATCGTGAGTGGCTTGGCACAGCTTCACCAAGGAAAAGAAAGGCTCCCGCATGCGGCCGAGCCGCATTCATTGCCAGTATGGAGTTTTTCAACAAAACAAGTTTTACCCAAGCAGCCGCATTTCGGCACGTGAAGGAAGAATGAACGGCCCCAGACAGCCACCCAGAATTGCCTGGAAAAAGGTGCGTGTGATGCGCAATTTTCACTCACCCGAATCAGACTCCGAACTGCAAAGCTGGACGGTGGTGGTAGTACTGGCCGCGGTGGTGGTGTGTGGTGGTGCCCGGGGCCCGGAATCCGGAAGGGACCGGGGAGAGAAGTGTGCATTACATCACGGTCGTGGGCATTCTGCCAAAAAAGTCCAGACGTGCCCAGACTAGTCCATAGCGGCGTGAGTGTAAGCCAGCCGCCAGCTTTATGCCGGCATATGATGTAGTGCAAGACGATCAAGCATGTGCCTCAATCCTGCCGGCAACGTCAACGTGTCAGGAGTGCATCCCAAACGCAGCATGCATAAGCATGTCGGGGATGGGGAGGGAACTGTGGCCTTGCAGCTTGGAAGCGTGACCTATTTGTCCGCTTTTGTCCTCAGGACTTCCCGCGCACCCCGCACAGCGCCGAAGCTCCGAAGCTGCTGCAGAAAGAGCCAGCGAGCATCCTGCGGCCACTGCACCGAGGCCTCCCTGGACTCTGACAGGCTGACAGCTCAGGCCTCCAAGGCCGCTGGCAAGGGCCCGGGGCAAAGCCCAGACGATTGCCCAGCTGCTGCGCAGGCATCGGCTGCCATGGTGACTGTTCCAGCGTCGAGGCCTGAATCAACTCACAGGACGTTCTTGCTAAACATTCGGCTTCGCAGGTCTCCGCAGGGAGCCTTGAACGTGGTGCGTGAAGTGGATGGCCACCTGCATGGTTGCAGCTGGCGCTCAGGGCTGTGGACGCCAGTCAGGACACGTACCGAACCTTCCAAGATCGAGCGCGTCCCGCTGCAGAGACCGCTGCACTTGCCGCTGGCAACGTCAGGCCAAGTCCTTCGGAATTGCCAACCGACGAGTGGATACTTACAGACACGGTATACTTCCCCCGCCCCCCCTGGTCCTCGCCGCTCACCTTCGGCATAGAGTCCTACTGCCCATCGCCATTGCAGCCCCTCCGCACAGGCACTGATCGCCTCGCGCTCGCATCTGCGCATCAGCCCGGCGAGGCTGAGATCCGCTGGGAGGCTCCGCTGAGGCTCCGGCTGCAGCGTAGCTGACTGCATCTGGTGAGGGGCCGTACTTCTGCAGACCGTCCAGGATCCAGAGCGCCTGTCTGCCACTTACAAGTTGCAGCAACCAGAAGAACAGGAACATCGTGAGGTCTCTGCTTGCTGCCACTGAAGTCCCTTCTCGCAAGCCTGAGTGTCAAAGGGTATAGCTTGAAGTTGTTTAGTCACCTCGTTGCACGAGCTCGGGGCACTGATGGCTGAGTTGCACAGGATGAGGTCTGGCCGGACCTCCTGGCAGACAAGGCCTTGGAAGGGGGGGACTTTTGCACGCTGTCGCAGCACATCGCAGCGCTGTCCTCACTCGTTGAGCGGTGGGGCTGGTAAGGCCAACCAAGGACCTTAGCAAAAATGCCCACGATGAGTTTGCGAAGCACTAGCAGCCAGTGACCATAGTCTGCAAGCACGGGACGCACAGCACGCCGAGAGCTCTCTGCCACTGAAGTCCCTTCTCAAATGCACCTCCGGCATTGCAGAGTCACGTTGCTGGCACATGCCAAACCAAAACTAAAGTTCCAGTCCATGCCAGGCCACTGATCAGGGAGCTAAACGTGATCAGGTCTGGTTTCAGCCTGAGCCGTTCGAGTGAAGCATGCCCTGGGAGAATCCCGTCACCGTGTCTCAATCAAGCAGCGAATACTCCTTCTGCATGTCGAAGATAGACAGGGCCTGCCATCGTCGCACAAGTCTTCCCAGAAGCGGAGCTGTCGCTTCTGACTTCCTACGAAGGAGGCTTCAGGGCCCAGCCAAATCCCAGCGGAAGCCACGCGAGCAAGCGCTGATGACAGCATTGCAGCTCGTGGTGGTGGGTGCTGCGAACCTCCTTCTGAGCTTGGGAACATCTTCGATAAAGGGAGTTCACAAGCATGGAAGGAGACGAAAGATGGCCTCAGAGCCACGAAGACTTGAAGGGCCTGGACACCAGGAAAGGACAAAGTCACTGTCATTTCCAGCAGCCAGCACACCACGGTTTAGACTGCAGCGAGCCTGCTCCCACGCATCGGCCTTCTCACAAGCGCTGATCGCGGCATTGTGTGAGATCGCGTCGGGCCTCGGGGAACTGGCGGCAAGGTGCAGATTGTGACAGAGGTGGCCTTTGCCGAGGAGCAGGATCTCCAGACGCGCCAAATGGCGCAGAAGCCAGATGCCCAGCTGCCATGGACCACTGGCAAGTGAGCTAACAATTCATGCATAAAACCTTAAGTGCCTTTGTCACACAACTTGACGTCACCTGCTTCTTATCTTCAACCTATCCATGAGATTGTTGCGCGCCTGCAGCCCTCGTTGGCGCATGCCTCCGATCAGGAGCATGCCTATAGACTACGGCAAAGCAGTGTCGGTACTCAGAGCAGATTTACACAATCGCAAGCAGCACGGCTTCCCCAACACGAATTTTGATTTCGGACTGAAACAAGGAGCGATGTAGAAAAACACTTAAATTCAAGAACACAGAACTCGAGTCGAGATACACAACATGAGACTGCAAACCCTAAAACCCCAAATTCCGTGGCCCCTAGACCCTACACGTTCTTTCCGTTTCCAAGCCCGCTCGCTGAATCCAGCGGTTGGGTTTCCAAATCCACCCGCTGCTTTCAGGTTGAGTTACTCTCAGAATGGTGCGGTGGGGATTCGTCCTCGCCCGAGCACCAACCCAGGTCTGCCAAGCCTTCTCACATGCAGAGCTCATGGCATTGAAGAAGATCAAGCTGGGCAAAATGCCACGCCTGCAACATCAGAATTGGAGCCTCCAAGTGCGGAAAGCAAAGCTCTGAAGTGGCCAGCTCGCCTCTGCATGTCGACCATCAAGCCCAAAGCAGCTGACCAGTTCCCAGCGGACTTCTCACAGGCGGATGCCTGGCAGATGCAGGGAATGCATGGTGTTCAGCAAGCTTCACATAATCCTGCGGAGGCACCGCTGCTCCAAAACCGTAGGCATTCGGTTCAAGGCTACCTCAACCGCAATGCACTTTCTCACATGTCGTGCAAGCCGTTTCTGCCCTCCGAGCCTCGTCGCAAAGCCTCGCAACATGCATCGAGAGACATGTGTGGCGTTGTGTCGAGCGCGTCAGTGTCGGCCACGGACAGCCACAGAGCATAAGCCACGGAGCTCACCATATTCTCTAGTAGCCTGATAGCACCCTCATTGTAACCATACTACAGTACCCTGACAGCAACCACTGTGAAACTATTGTGAAGGTCCGAGGCTGAGGTACTGGCATTGACTGCTTGTACCGCATCTTGCCAACTGTTGCCTTTTTCGCCTCGGAGCGTCGTAAACTTTCGATCTGTTCAAGCAAGCTGCGTCTGAAATTGCGGACGAAAGGAACATACCAAGAACTGCGAGTCGAGGGCGATGCACCGAAACCCACTCTGAAGCTAAGAATCATCAGGTCAACGGTCAAGAAGATCTAACTTGCTGGACAAGAAAAGGACAGCATGCTTGAACATGGACTACATCAAAAGCAAAGTCGGAAGCATCGTATTCGAAAGCAGTGGTCGTATTCACTAAATACAAAACTAACGAATATGTCAGAAAAAAACAAATCACTGATGCTCTCAATCTGCGCTCAGATCTGCTCTACACGTAAGATGCCGACAGGCGGTCACAATGGCGGAACCACTCACCACACTTGGCCTCATTGCAGTTACCGGTAACAGTTACCGCAGCTGCAGAACACAGTCTCTGATCAAGGTGCACGGCTCAATGCCTTTGCTGAAGATCACATTGGCGACTTGCAGAGCCAATGGCCAGGCAGAAACCCTGCCGACAAGCATCACGAGGGGCGCTTTAGACGCTTCAGAACTAGACCGCAACAAGAAACCACACCTTGTGCAAGACGAAACTGCCACACCATATGTGACAACATTCGGCCTTGCTGTCGTGGCAAGAATCTTCCCAAAGGTAATTCATGCGGCAAATTATCCACATTCCTGACATCTGAGTGGCGAGCTCCAAACCTGAGCAACAGGGGTCGATCCGTCGGTGATGCACATAGCACCTGCTCGCGGGCCTTCTGCAACTACCTGACCACGACCAAGAACACAAACCATGAACGTTTGGACAATGCAACTCAGTAGCGGGCCTCTCGCAATTCTTGCAGCACCTCTTCCCACAGCGATGATTTGCCAAGACTTGCGAGGTGTTGTGTCGCCCTGCACGAGGACACCATGCTTAACAGACAAGAAACATGGTTAACTTGATTAACGTGCTCTGACAAGTTAACTGCGAAGCCTCTTGATGCCAGCTTCATGTTGCGGTGCCGTCCGAGTGAACATAAAATGAGTTGCATGCTCATGTTCCAAAAGCAAAACCAACTGCCACTGCACAAAAGCTGTCAACAAAGCATCGCACATTGCAGTTTGCAAACTTCGGCCGTATCTTGTGAGCTTGTCGAACTAGGTGTGTGTTGCCCCTCTCTCTGTGGCAGGTGTTGTC